AGCAATTTCGGCCCTTTCTGGGCTAACGGGCGTCCGCCAAATGGGTGCCTTCCGGTCACCCTCTGGACTCTGGCTAGCGACCCTTGGTGCCTGCGGGGGCCGAAGTGCCTCCGTTTCCCGTTTCCATTTTTCACCAGGCCTCGTTCGCCATAGAGGAAAGGCGGGGCGGGGGAGAAAGCTCCTCGGGAGGATCACAGGGCCCGTTGTCTCGCAGGGAGCCCGGGCTGTGTGGGAAAATCTCCTCAGCGCCGCGCCTTAGGCGGCCGAGGAGCTTCGCTCAGGCCCCGCCCTCGGGCTCTCCCGCCCAGGCTCCGGAGCGCTGATTCTCCCACGCTCTCCTCCCCCGCTTGCCTCCCGCGTTCGCTTCCTCCAGCTGCCCCTTCCCCCGCCGCTCCCTCCCGCCGCGTCTCGGCTTCTTCCCGAGGCCTCCTGCCTTCTTTGTTCTTCGCTTGGCCCTTCTGAGATGGGCGCCGTGCGGACTCGCTTCGAGGCAAACGGTGGGGGTGGGGTGGGGGGCGCGAAGGCGAGGTGTGTGTGTGTGTGGGGGGTGATTGTGCGCGCGTTTGGTTTGCCGGAGCGTCATTTTCCCGCCTTCGCCCGCCGTCAAGATCGGGGTGGCGGTGGAGGGTACGAGATATGGCGCCCTTCGGGGGAAGCCGGGCTCCTTCGGGCGCAGGAACTTGAGGAGCGCGCCAGTTCTGGAAATCCAAGGCGCCTTCACTTCGGCTTGAAACTTACTGAAGTGTGACCATTTTCTCTCTTCTTCTTCTTCTTCTTCTTCTTCTTCTTCTTCTTCTTCTTCTTCTTCTTCTTCTTCTTCTTCTTCTTCTTCTTCTTCTTCTTCTTCTTCTTCCTCTTCTTCTTCCTCTTCCTCTTCTTCTTCCTCTTCCTCTTCCTCTTCTTTCTTCTTCTCCTCTTCCTCCTCCTCCTCCTTCGCCACCTTCTCCTCCTCCTTCTCCTTCTCCTCCTTCTTTTTCTCCTCCTCCTTCTCCTCCTCCTCCTCCTTTTTCTTCTTCTCCTTCTCCTCCTCCTCCTCCTTTTGGCAAAATGGGTCTGAGTAGGCCTGACCTGCTTCGCCCGGGTGGTTTTTACGAAGTTGGTGGAAACGCTGCTGTTGTGTTTTCTGTTGTGTTTTCGGCGGGGTTTTCGTTGTTGTTTTTCTGACAAAGCCAACCACGACGGGGCTTCTGATTGGGGCGGAAGGGAACAACATCGCCCACACCCCTGCTATCTTCCGGAGTTTGTCCGCCTGCTTGTTCCGCCCCCCACCCCATTTCTCGTGCCAAGGCCGGTTGCGTGATTCCAACTCAGGATGTACATTCACCGCCTCCGGCGCGTTGAGGTTTATATGCCTCTTAATCATCCCCTTTGGCAGCGCATTTATCTCTCCCCCCCCCCCACACCTTCCTCCCCCCCCCCCCACCACCACCCCGGATGGCGGGAGCGGACAGCCGAGCGATTCACCCCTGCGCTCCCCCGTGGCGCGTCTGGAGGACAAGGGAGCCTCTGCTGAGAAGGGCGCCTAGGCCTGGCCCCGGGCTGGCAGCCAAGCTTTGGCTCCTTCGCCAGGCTCCTGTCACTTAACCGGCGTCTGCTTAGGTGCACCCCCCCCCCCCTTTCCCCCTGTTCGAGGACAGATCTGCCCAAACAGCACCTTCCTAAGATGTTAACGGAGATGGGGGGGGGGTGCTTAATCTTTCTACTGACGCCACTGCTGGCATTGCTGGAGGAGGAAGTGGCCCTTTGTCCGGGCAGGAAAGTCAAAATCTTTATGGAGCTTTTAATCATTTTGAGAGAGACGAAGTCCCCTAGAACCACCTTGGCAAAGATCAGGCAGTCAAAAAAGAACTATGGAGAGAGAGAGAGAGAGAGGGAGGGAGGGAGGGAGCAGGGGAGAGAAACTTATACAACAGGGCTTCCAAAATTGCCTTTAAAAAGGAGGCCTTCCACCTAATGCTTTTCTTACATCTTAGACTCCAATATTCTTTATTCTGTCTGTTGCCTGGGGATTATGGAAGTCGGAGTTTAATACAAGAAAAGGCACTAGGTAGAGAAAAGTAAGTCTATGCTGAGTGAAATTCTTCCTCGTGCTGGCCCTCAAGTCGATCGTGCCCATCATCAGAAAAAGAAGAGGGACATTTTTCTCCTAAAAACAAACAACATGGCCTGGGATAGTTGTGGGAACTGGAGCACCTGTTTAAGGGCTTTCAGACTGTCATATTTATGACTACAGAAGTGTCAGAGAAACAAGAAATCTATTGACATACCTAGTTCATATATTTAAGGGTCAGCGATCAGATTTGAAACCCAGCAGATAGGCTATTTGCCAAAAGCCAGGCAAGTAATTTTATATGGAAGCCTGGACTTCATTCTTAACATTTGAAATATTAATAAATACATACTAAATACATACCTAAAGGGCTGACTTATAAAATGTGAGGAAAGGGATAATCATAAAGAAAAAAATATTTCCTGAAGAGGCATCTTTCCCAGTAGACCCCAGCATAACCCAGGTGCATCTGATGGAGTCTTACTTTGCATGGCATGATAAAACACCTCTAAAACTCTGAACCTTGGGACCTTAACAAGATTCACATTTGATTTGAGGGCTCCTATTGGGCAGGCAGCAACCTGTATTGTGAAGGGAAGGTGGTGAGAGCATCCCTTGGCCTCTCCTGCCAAATAGTGAGCTAAAATAACCTGTTTGGCATTAGTCTTCTGGTGGCCCAGCCATCCAACAAACTGAGAGATTCATTGTGGCATGAATTGTAACAATTTGTGAGCCTTGACCAAATACTAATATACCTATTGCCTTTAAAGACCGTATAGCAATGTGCTGGATTTGGCATAAAAGTGCAGTCAGTAGTGCATTGTCAGCAGTAGAAGATTGCCACCCTCATCTGAAAGTCACAAAGCTTGAGACTTGGGAGAAAAATATAAATAACCAGATAGGGAGCCAAAACGGGGCAACTGTGGAGTTGAAATGCTGCTTCCCAGATCTGCATCCTGTGCCTCTTGGGTCTGCCTCGGGTAAGGGGAGGTGTCCCATTTTGTTCATAAAGAAAAGCTCCTGCAAAGGCAGCCGCCGCCTAGTTGTTCCTCGAGGTTTACTGGTGGAGAGACGGCCAAGCGCCCAAACAGGCCAAGCCGATGGGATGCGGGGACTCCCTTCTCTCTGCTGCTGCTGCTGCTGGGGCCTTGCGGCTCCGGATCACGAGGGAGACCGGGTCGCCTGCAGCTTCAGGAGCCGCCGTCACGCTGCCGGGATTGTAGCGCATGAAGCCGCCAAGGAGCCTGACCGGCTTTGCCTCCAACGTTTCGTGGCGCCAGATCGCAGTGGGGTGGGGCCGAGTCTAGGCGAGCGAGAAGGAGCGTTGAGTGATTCAGGCTGGGCTGCCGCCGAGGGAAGCCTGTCGCGGTCCTCCTGCCTCGGGCTGGGCGTGTGTGTATATGTGTACGTCTTTGTGTATGTGCGTGTATGTAGACGGGACAACGCTGCTGGCAGTCGGCGCGACCCAGCCTGAGCTCCCCCTCAATCTGTGGCCTCGCGGCTTTTAAATACCCTTCAAGAATGCCCAACAAGTGCAGCGTGGGGAAGCCAAAGGCCGCCCAGAATCAGCCCCTCGGAGTCAGAATGGAGAATAGACAAAGTGCGTCTTTCTGCCTGAAGGGACGATTAGTTCCACGGAAGGAGCTAATTGGCGAGTAGGAGGAAGAACTAGATTTCGTTGTGGGAAAGAGACAGGGAGAAAACAGGCGCCTCCAAACTTCAAGCAGGCTAAGGGGGGCTTCTCAGCGCAGAGAGTCGGCCGAATGTGGAAGGCGACAGAAAAAATGACAGAAAAACGACTTCTCGAGCCAAGTACGGTGCAAACAAATAATTTATTTAAATAATCTCTTCATAATGTAAAAGTAACATTGAGCGATTTCTTTTTGTTTGGTTTTTGTAATAAATAACCAAGAACATACATTTAAAAAAAACAACACCGTTTTAAAGGTTTTTAAACTACGAATTGGGAAAATTCAGTAGCTTGTACTTTGTGGTAGTGAAGATGAAAGGAATAAAACAGAATACACAAAGAACGTAAGGAAGCTGCCCGGAGAGAAAAAGAAAACGATGATGTAAAAAAAATATTGGTTCACAAAACATGGACAAATGTAGCCTGTCCAATAAAACTGCCCCTCCTCTTTTTAAGGCAAAGAGGTTGGGGAGAATTAGCACAAACAACTCTATTACAAACATATGTACCGTATGTGTGTGTATATATATGTGTGTGTGTATGTATATATTTATATCTTTTTCTTGCAAAGAAAAAGTCCTGCAAACATTAAAAAAAAGATAATTTAAACACAGCTGGGTTTTTTTTCTTTCTTTTGTTTTTCATTTTAAATATCTACATATAAAAATTATTTATCTTTTTCCCCCCAACATCAAAATGAGGTCATCTGCAAAGGCACCTATAAAAACGTATAAAAAAATAAAACAAAATTAAATAAGAAATTTTGCACTAGCGATTCGATGAAAAATGGGAGGAAAGTGGGGCCTGCGCTCGCCGCGCGCACAGTTTTTAAAGTCTTTATTTGCTGCGGGCTGGGGGCGAGTACGTAGAAGGTAAAGCTGGTGGGGGAAAAAAAAGGCTGGTATAAAAAAGATTAGGTCGAGGTGATTGGGGCGGGTGGTCAGAAAACCCTGAAGGAGAAAAACAATCATTGAGAGCTCTTCTTTTTTCCTTTTGGACCAAGGGTGTGACCACAGCTTTGCCCGGATTTCACGCTTGTCAATAAGAATGTTGTCAGCAGCGACTTCTTCCGAGTCACCGATTGGGTGAGCCGCATTGTGAGCCGAAGATGCGGGGCGGGTGAGGGGAACTAGAGTCTGACTGAGTCAGAAACTTCAAGGATTATGGCTGAAGTCTCGAGGCGCTTGTCCCAGTTTGGCATCCCCAAGTCGGGCGGGTGCCGCGGCTGAGATGTTTTCGGGTGGGGAAGGAATTGCAACGGGGACGGGGGTGGGAGAGATACACCGGAAAGAGGAGGGGGAGGGAGCCTTCCTTCTCTCCACCCTAGACGCGGTCCCTTGGAGAGTAAGTTGGGGTTAGAAAATAGTCCCTGTGCTCACAGCCGCGCCATGGTGATGGGCGTGATGAAGATGGGGGTGATGCTGGTGAGACTGCCCTTGCTGCAGGATCGGGGAAGCTCCTGACAGATGGGAAGCTGCGGCGCTGGACGCCTGGTGATACCACGAGTAGTTACCCAGGAAAGCGGCGGCTCCGCTAGGAGTGCCAGGGCTCGAACCGGCGCTGCTCCCGCTGCCGCCGCCGCCGCCGCTGCTCATTCGCTGCGGGTGGGGAGCAAAGTCCCAGGCGAGGGTGGCTGAAGCAGGAGGTGAGGCGCAAGGAGGAGAGGAGCTGCCGACCCGCTGCTGATCCGCTGGGATTTCACCGCTTTTCCACATCTTCTTGAATTTGGATCTGCGGTTCTGGAACCAGATCTTCACCTTGCCAAAGAGAAGAGAGAGGGGGGGGGGGAAAGGGGCGGGGATGAGCCGGGAGGCAGGAATAGCCCAGTCCATTCCCATCTAAAATACACCTGAAATAGAAATGTCCCACAACAAGCGCCCTTCCCCCCTCCCGTTCATTCAGCTTTCTGCTTTCTATAGATTCTTCTCCATCCCTGCCGGCCCTGCTCTGAGTATTGGTGGTTGTTTTTTTTTTGCTAGCGGCTTGCCGAGATTGGTTGTTTGCTTATACCAAGCTGTAAGTTTTGTAATCCTCCAGACTTGGGGCTAAGAGGAGAAACCTGGTCCCCAAAACAGCCGGAGAAACTCACAAGTCAGGTGAGGGGTGGGGGGCAGTTGGAAGAGGTTACAACAGGGCAAGGAGCTTGATGGAAGAAAGCTTGTTCAGGAAAATCGATTGTTTCGGGAGATCTTCCGCAAAAACTAGACTTGGCAAATTCTTTGCACAGTGCTGCTGAGACATTCCCCAGAAATACTTGGGGCCACCAACTGTAGAGAATCTGCCTGGATAAGGCCGGCTCTCCAGCATCTTCCAAGGGCACCAACTGCCTTCCTATCTTGCCAAGTCTCTCCCGGGGAAAACTCCACAGCATGCCTTTCTTCTGGATTTTTATTCCCGTCTGACCTCCCTAATCGTGGGATTTAATTAAAAATGTCCTGGGACTGGATCAAACTATGGATCGATAGAGCAGGAAAGGGGAAGACCAGCTATCTGGACTGAATGAAAATGTCACATTTAATTTCAAATAACAGTTGATGAAAGATCCTGGCATTAGGTTTCCCTGATATTTGAATTCTGACACTTCTCCCTCCAGCGAATACTGTAGTACGCTAGCAATGATTCAGGATTCTCTCCAAGTGTTAAATCCATTGAAGCCCTGGGTTCTTAGGAAAACTGGATCTAGCCAAGCCTCATTGTTTCCGGGCAATGACCTCTATGGGACCCAAAAGATAGCACCTGAATCAGAAACCTATACTGGAGAAGAGACAAAGAGGACCTTGCCTACATTGGTGGTCTAGGGCTGCTTGGCTGAGCTTTTCCCATTTTCACAAAAGGGTGAGAAAATATCATTTGGCACAAAATAAGCATCTCTGCACAAGGCTTCTAGGAGCAATTTCTGCTTCGCTGAATAATGTGGCAGGGCTGAGATCCTGAACCAGTCTGCACAAAGAGGGAGATGGAAGATCCCACCTGGTGCTCTTCAACCCTCACACTCCCAATCTGTTTGTTGAATTAGCACCTTTGCTGGATTGGCACAATACATTTGGACCATACATGGATCAAATCCTCTGGATTTGAGGAAGCTGCACTCCCATACAACTTAGCCAAGATTAAAAACGTGCCTTCAACTTGGCAAGGCAGCATAGGCATTTCACTGATCTATAGTTAAGGAAATCTGCTCTTCCCAGTCTCCTGGTGTCTTCTTACCTGAGTTTGGGTGAGGCCTAGCGAAGCTGCCAACTCCGCTCTCTCGGGCAGTGCCAAATATTGGGTCTTCTGGAATCGTCTCTGTAAGGCTGCCAACTGAAAACTGGAATAGATGGTTCTCGGCTTCCGTACTTTCTTTGGCTTCCCATTTACTATTCGGATCTCGGGCTCACCCTCTTCTTTTTCTGTGGCAAGAAAGGAAAATGGGTGAATAATCTGGTTCCAGCAATATACGCCCCTACCACTATTATTATTATTATTATTATTAATTATTAATTATTAATTATTATTATTACTATTATTATTATTAGAGCCTTGGCTACAATGTCTTGCCTCTGCAAGGATGGGACAAAAGATCCCAGTGCCATAAATGCCATCCAGGAACTATTTGAGTGCCTTCTCTCCCCCCTCCCCCCCATCCATCCCGAATTAAATAATTCAGGCTTAACAAGTGAGAAGGGGGAAAAAAAACAGCGAGAACGTCCCGCATTATTAGGAATTCCAGCCCCCCCCTCCCCATAATCACCTCTTGTGTCCAAGAATCTTACCGGGCTCATTGTTGATTGGTGGCGTCCTTGTCCCATAGGGTGCATAGGAGGTGTAGGAGGTGGAGTATCCCAGGTCGTAACTCCCGGCTTTGGTGGAGTAGGGCACTGCACCGATGCCGTTCGGGTGGTACTGGTAAGAGCCCATCTGGGCGTAGGGCGACCCACTGCTTCCGTTGCTGCCCGTGCCTCCTCCAGCTCCACCACTGTGCTGTTGTTGGTGGTTGGTATAGTAGCTGCTGTCGGTGGCGGTCGACACAGGCAGAGTGGGAGATTCCTGGGGCTTATGCAAGCTGTGGTGCTGCTGCTGCTGCTGCTGCTGGTAACTGCTGGAGGTAATCTGGTTTGAATGCATATCTGAAACAAGGCTGTCAAAGACTCCAGTCATCCTGGTCCTCTATCCCCGCCCCTCTCCCTCCCTCCCTCCCTCTCTCCGTCTCTTGCTCCCACCTTCTCTTCCTCCCTCCCTCCCTCGCTCGCTCGCTCCAAGAGTACAGGGACCGCGAGCCAGCAGGGAGGGGAACTAACTCGGGAGTTCCTTTTCTTGCAAACAGGCCGGGCCGCAAAGTCTTGCCTTCTTTCGCCCCCCCCCCCCCCCCCCCCGGCGGGGGGGACCAAGGGGGGACAAAAAAAAAAAAAAAAAAAAACCAAAAGAAAAGAAAAAAAGAAAGGGGAGAGATCCCTGGAGATCCCTAGGAGGGCTGGCCGCAAAAGTTGCGGGAGAAAAGAGGGCAGGACGTTGCCATCGCCGTCCGTCTTCCTTTCCAACTTTGCGCTTCTCTTTTAAAAGGGCAGAAGGCGATCCAGCCCGCCTCGCCGCCGCCGCCCCCCCTCACCCCGCCCCTCCCGGGAGAAGCAAAGTCGCAGCGCTGCTCAGCCCCGGCTTCCCCCAGCAGCGCCTTTACGATTGTCTGCGGCTCCGTGGATGCTGCCAGGTGGGCATTTAACACCAGTCACGTGAGCGCGGGCTACGTCACCTAGCAACAGCCAATCCGGCCCTCCGTTCTCGTTGTCTTCTTTCTCTTTGCTTTCTTCCCCCCCCCCCCCCCCCCCCCTCCCCCCCCCCCCCTGCCTCCTCCTCCTCCTCCTCCTCCCTCGCTTCTAATCTTTGGATCCCCGGGGCGGTGGAGGCGCCTCGTAGATGACACGCGCTGGAAAAGGGAGGGGGGGAAAGCGGCGCGGGTGGGGTGAGTGGGGGGAAATACAGAGAGAGAGAGAGAGAGAGAGAGAGAGAGAGAGAGAGAGATCCCATCTCCGGGCGCTCCGGGGAAAGGGAGGCTTAATAACCCAGAAAAGAGAGAGAGGGAGAGAGAGAGAGAGAGAGAGAGCGTTGTTTGGGTTCCTTTTGCTGAGTTGCGTTTGAAAGCTCGCCCGACTCGGTTTGCAAAGAGAGAAAAGTGAGTCAGATCAGATCAGATCAAATCAAGGCAAAGCAGCGAAGTTTCGTTTGGAGGAACCGGCTCCCCTTAGCTTAGGATCCCGTTGACAACCTCGTCGAATTGAGATCCCTCCAGCCCGGTCGCGTGACTAAACTTGCACGCGTCTTCGGGACATCTTTTGTCGGCGCTTTCCCTTCTGCTGGGGGTGTTATCAGCAGCGCGTGGTTATACTAAGTCTCTAAACTGAACTCCCAAGAGCCTGGGAGTAAAGTCGTGGTCCCGATTTGCCCCGTTTTGGTGTGACGGAGCCTCTCTTAAGATCGAAGCTGTTCTTTTTCATAAGGCAAACTTCAGGATCTCGGTGAAGATTGTCAATCACCCAGGTCCTAGTTATCCCAAAGACTTTTATTATTATTATTTTTCCCTTGAAACAAATATTTCCCTTCTTTATTTTCCTCGAAAACCTTTCTCTTCTCATCCAAGAAGCATTTTAGATTGAGAAGAGAAGCGTTTTCAAGGGGGAAGAGAGAGAAAAAAATAAGAAAAAAGTAAGAACCTCCCAACTGCTTCAGCAGTTGCAGCTTTGATCCCGCTCCACGCCAACCACCCAGCCCTACCCCGTTTTCTTCCCAAACCACAACTTGCAAGGCAGCGGGCGGAGAAGGAGGGGGTTTATGCCCGTGTAGAGGTTTTGGTGATATTTGGGGAGAGGAAAGGCAAGTGCTTACAATATGAAAGAAAGATCAGAGTCGCCTGCAGTAATCCAGGCTTCACCTGCCTGGCGCCCTCCAGAAAATCTTGGTTTATATATCTCTCATTATCCCCAGGTAACGTTGCCCATCCTCCCGTAGAATAATAGGCCTTTCAAGTCAAAGGCTTCTGTTTGGCGGGGGTGAGGTGGGGGGAGTAAGTCGGGATTTAACGCCCACTCGCTCGTCCCCACTTTTCGGAAAGGCGGGCTTGGAAAGGGCCCGGTTGGGTGGCTGCGTTCTTGGCCTTACCCTTTAGCGCCACTTAGCGGACAACCGTTGCCACTGAAGGCCGGAGGAGACGGGATAATCGCACCTAGGCGCCAGGCTCTTCAATCACCGAGCCCAGCAAAACAGTAATTAAAAGCCACAACACTGAGCCAGCGCACATCCTCCGAAATCCTCAGAAGAAAGAGACAGACCTGTGTGGGAGAACCAACTTGTTGCAACAACTGCTAACCGGGGGTGGGGGTGGGGGGTGTGTGGGGGTGGGTGGGAGAAGCAAGTTAGCCTGTAAGAAATCATTTCAAACAGAATAAAGTCTACCTCTCTTTCCCTCTCTTAGCGCACCCCACGTTTTGTAAAAATGAGTTTGCGGCATCAGCCCTGTTGCGACGCTGTGCCCTCCTGAAGGACGTTGGTGAAGTCCATTGCTTCCCATTGTCAATGCAAATAATACTATTTTGGGTCGGTAGCTTTCTTAGAGGCGTCTTCTTTGCTTTTTTGCCAGGATGTGAGATCCCCTCACATCCCGGACATAAACTGTTTCAACTCCTTCCCTCAAAACGACGCTATAGAGCACTGCACACCAGAACAACTAGACACAGGGAGAGTTTCTCCCCGAATGCCATCTCTCTGCTAAACAAATAATTCCCTCAACACTGTCCAACTATTTACAAAGTCTGCACTACTATTACTGTTCATCTTCTCATCACTCCTTATCACCCATCCCCTCCCACTTGTGACCGTGTGACTGTAACTTTGTCACTTGTGTCCTTACGATCTATATTGACTGTTTCCTAGTATGATTTGATTGCTTATTGTACCCTATGACTATCATTAAGAGTTGTACCTGATGATTCTTGGCTCTTGACGAATGTATCTTTTCTTTTTATGTCCACTGAGAGCATTTGCACCAAGACAAATTCCTTGTGTGTCCAATCACACTTGGCCAATAAAGAATTCTATTCTATACTATTTTGGCCACTTCTTTCTTATACGTCAGTAGAAAGAGAAATACTGTTTGGAGGGGAGGGGGGGGGGGGGGAGAGCATTGATCTGGTTTGGGGGAAAAAAATCCCCTCACCCACCCAGTTGGCTAAGACAATTGGGTGATTTTTTTTTCCAGGACCATCTTGCTTTATTGCAAGTTACTGTGAAATCTAGCAACAAAGCTTGGGAGTTGTTCTTCAGATGCTACACCCTTTCCTTGGTACAATTCAGATCTTAAAAGCCAGGTTTTTGAATTCCTCTTTAATTTTGCTGGCTTCCCTGCCCCACTCACCTAACCTGCTTCATACTAGCTGCAGTCCCTCCAAGGCACTCTCTCATTCCAGTGTTCCTGACTGCCTCTCGCCTCCCCAGCTTGTTGTGAGCCAGTTCTTGCTCCCCTTCCCTCCCTGTTGACTCAGGCTTGGTCCTCCGGCTCAAGAGACGCCTTTGGACTGCAGATGCAAAATGCACCAGGAAGTTTCGACTAATGAGCAACCAGAAAAGGATGATCTGAAAGAGAAAAACATGTTTAGTGACCCCAAAACTTTAGGAAAAGAGATGGCCTACTTGACTCCAATTATTACTTCATTTAGGACCTTTAGATTCAAGAACAAAAAAAATTATAATATTTTAATATCAAAGTGGCCTAAAATGTTATCTTGAACATAACATAACAAAGAACAACTATTGATGCACATTAAAAATGGAAAGTTTTTAAATGTACAAGAAACCAGCAAATATCAAAATAACCCAATCAAAACATGAACAGAATGTAATGGCAAGTAAAAGCATTTCCTGGTCAATTTCCACAAAAGATTAAGGGGAAAGAGGATAAGATAGAACCTGGCAATGGCTTACAATTGGAACATTAAAAAAAAAAAAGAAACTGAAGGCTTGATTTTGGCTGCACAAGAGCAAGCTACTTCAGCTAATGTAGTCAAGGCCAGAATTGAAAAATCATCAAATGATTTAAAATGCAGCTTGTGCAGAGAAGCAAAAGAAACAGCAGTCCATATATTCAGTTCTTGAAAGATCACACAATTGGGTTATAAACAATGACACAGCAAGATCTTCAAAATAATTCACTGGAACACCTGTAAAAATTATGCAGCAGTAATGAAAAATAAGTGGGAACATATAGTTGAAAAGTTAAAATACGGTGGGATTTCTAAATACAGACTGATAAAAGTCTGACTCATAACACACTAGATATAACTGTAATTGAAAAGAAAACCTATGCGTAATTGATGTGGCAATACAGGGGGAAAAGTAGAATTGCAGAAGATCACAAAATATCAAGATCCATATTTTAAAACGGAACCATTATGGGATAAAATGGCCATTGAGTGCTTATCGGCACACTCAATAAATATAATGCCAAAAAAATCGTGGAAGTCAATTAGAAAATCTGGTGCATTGACAAATTTTTCATCTGTCAAGTTAAAAGGCCACGTTGCTGGGATATGCACATATGCTATGCTAATGCATCACAACATCCAGGTTCTTGGGAAGAATTCAATATTCAAGGCCAGCTGAAGAACTGGCAGCTATGCTTTCACATTTCTCTGTACATAATAATATACCTAAGTCTTACCTTGTGGATGATGTTATTAGGCCTTTTAATACTGCTGCCTGAGTAGATCTGGGGACACAGTGATATATATCTTCTTCAATTATAGAGTCTGGTTCCCATGTCCCATAGTTCATACGATCTGTTGCTACGCTGAGTAGCTAGGCAGGAGCTATAAACAAGTGTAGCCCTATCATTCAGGTTTAACGAAACAGATGTGTAATTGTCCAGGATGGACTGCAGGTCATTGATGATATGTCTGACTGTATTTTAGTTGAAGAGTGACAAGTGATATTCTGTTGTTTTCTTTCTTGATTATTTTCCTTAGACCTTTCTTAAATACCAGTGAGCCCTCTTTTTTTTAATATATATAATGTTGGGTAGATACTGTACTTTGAGAAATGTCTGATTTAAATCCTTAACTTGTGAGTCTGACAAGTCTGAACAGATTTGGTTGTTATATGTCGGATGGCAGTAG